AAAATTTCCTCAGCAGTCTGGTTATTTGTTCATGAAGAACTATCTTTGCAGCATTGGCCTGAAAAAGATACAAAAAATGTAAATACAAATGGATCTACAATGTATACATACATTTACAGTTATTACTAAATATTTATAAACAAGTGATCAGTGACAATTAAACATGTATTGAGAATCAAAGGTGATTAATTATACCTGTTGTTAGGTTTTTTGTTACCTGAATAAGCTTGTTTTATATAGGGGTGGTGTCAGTTTATTACACACAAGCCTGAAAAAAATGTTTGGTTTCAATCAATTAAGAAAGTCAATTAGAAAGTCAATTTATAAATGTACCTGAAATGCAGTATTGAATTCATTTAAAGGTGCCAAAATGAATTCTTTAAACTGGAAATAAAGTATCATTTCTGGATTCATAAGATGTTTTGCTACACGTTTCACTCTGCCTTCCTTTTTCACATCTTGGTAACTATTGAAATAACTTTTCAAAGCTGGCCAGTGGTGCAGTATAGGTGTAATACATACAGGTTTGAAGTGATAACCATCTGGTACTGACATGTTTTAATATTTTCAACAGTTCAACATCACAAAATTCTAGGTATTCCTTGTATTCTTCCATTCGTTTGGAGGATTTTTGGAAGTGATAATAAATATCAACGATAAAGTCATCGATTGGTAAGGGAAGTTCCTTAATCCCTGCTCAACAACATTTGGTTGCTTTTGTCTTATTCTAGAAAGAAGTGAATTTTTTCTGCCTTTCATGACAGAGCAATTGTCTGACATAAAACCAAACACATTTTTCCAAGGAATTTGTTTTTTCTCAAGTGTATTGTCCAAGGCATCAAATAAGTTTTGAGCATTTCCTATATTTACATTAGGCATATCAAGAAATCTAGTGACAGTGTCACCCAAAATACTGTCAAAGTATCTGACAAGAATAACAAATAATTTGTCATTCCCTCTTCATTGCTCTCATCGCACATAATTGTGAAGGGTTGAGTTTTACAATTTTCTTCTACCACTTTACTATTTTTGACTGAAATGGCCCTTTTCACTATCTGGGTGGTTTTTGTTTTCCCATAAGAATAACCTGCAGCTATTGCACTATCAGTGAACATAATTTTGTGAAATGGTCAGAAACAGCAAAAGCAAGATTATGCTCTGCCACAAAATTTGAAAAAGTTTCTGCATTTGTAATCTTATCAGTCAGTACACTTTTGGTCTTTGAGAGGAAAGATACCATGTCTATTGATTCTGCTTGAGATTTTTCCATTTTTGGCCCAGATAGGGACCACTTTCTTTCAGACATTATGTTGAACTGACAAACTAAAGTTTACTCAATTAACTGAATAATGCTCACTAATCAATTAAACTTACCTTGAAAATATTGTAGCTCCCGGTAAACAGGTAAACAAATCCTAAATTTTGACTTTTCTATTGTTTTCCTATTCAAAGGAAAAAAAAACCGATAAAACCGAACGTACATTTCAACTCTAAATACCGGAATCAATACCAGTCAGAAATCCGGTTGAAAACAGGTAATTTTCCAATTTACCGGGTTATTTAGCTACCGGCCCCGTTTTTTTAAAACCCGGGTAAGGGATCAAATTCTCCGGTGTGACCCGCAGGATACGGGTCAGTTGACAGCTATGGTTTTGTTCCGCTTGACCTCAGCAGGAAGTTGTCTAAGTAACAGTTTTTCCAGGATTGGACTAAAAAGCAATAAGGAAATAATAATCCACCAAAGTCCAAATGATGTGGATTTAAGGATTATGTAGTCCAAATAATTAGACAGTCTAGTTGGCAGGTCTGCACTTAAGAAATCTCAAAAAAATTTTATCTTTAAAAAATTTATACATAAGTAAAGCATACATATTGAAATTGATATTCTAATTAAAAATATCCCATCAGTTTTGAAATTAAAAGTTACTTTAAAGATAAGAAGATGGGGTATGATTGCCAATGAGACAACTCTCCACCAGAGACCGAGACCAAATTACGTAGAAGTTAAATTACAACTACAGGTCACTGTACAGCCTTCAACAATGAGCAAAACCCATAGCGCATAGTAAGCTATAAAAGGCCCTCAAATGACAAATGTAAAACAATTCAAACGATGAAGACTAAGGGCCTGATTGATATACATAACAATAAACAAAAACAAAAATATGATTTACAGCAAAATAAGACAACCGCACTGAATTACAGGCTCTTGACTTGGGACAGGCACATACAGAATGTGGCGGGGTTAAAATGCATGGTGGCGTCAAACCCTTTCCCTAATCTGGGACAGTGGTGTTACAGTACAACATCAGAAGAAACTATAACAATCAGTTGAAAAGGGCTGAACTCATCAGATGGTCCGGGTACACAGTTATCGTCCTTTGATTTTCGTTGTCCACAAATATAGTCCCTAGTGTGGACAGTGTGTTACTTGTCGATTTTTTTTATACCCCTTCCGAATTTATTTCTCCATGTTTTATGACTCAAATAGTAAGTAGGGGGGTGAAATGACACTGTAAAAAAATTTGGGTCATGAATTTTAAAGTAAAGTAGTGATTTGGTCCAGCTGAAAAATGTTAAAAATTAGCACTTCGGAGGCTGTCAAAAGATTTGAAGACCCCCTTAGCATGAAATTGTCCATATTTTGAGTTAGAGCCGATGAAGTTTTCTATAATTTTGATATAATTTGTCCCAAAAGTAGTACAACACACTGTAAAAATATTATTGAGAAAGCGCAGGTGGGATTTTTTTAATTTTCATTTATTGTCTAAAAGAAATGCACTACGAAATAACTGTGTACTCGGACCTAAGAGGTGAAATCTGGAAATATAGAATCTGTACTTTGGCAACTTCCCTGAATGATTTGATGGTGTCAATTTATCAAATAGCATAAAACTAAAGGATTTAAACTTTTATTTGATAGAATTTCTGCAAAAATGACCAATTTTGGCATTTTATGGTCAAAATAAGCATTTCATAGCTTTTTCAATTTTGATGCATAAGTGGCATTCTGACTTTCTATCTGACAGGTTTTTATGTGTCAATATTTGTGTTTCTATGCTTCAATCCAGTTGTATTACTCATTTGTGAACTCTGAATCTACAGAAAAGAAGATTATCTCAGACAATATGTGCAAAATGTGTTGTATATATGGTCCTCGTCTAACGCCCTGTTTGGATCAAGTTAAATGTGAGGAGCTTGGAACATAAAAGTTGAAGTCCATTATAAAGACCTCACTAAATTTGTATAAAAAGCACTAAACAATGTCTTTTGTGCCTGTTTTATGTCACATAATATCTTTCTTTTCTTCTGTAGGATAGCAAGTGGTTCAAATATAAGCCTGTTGAGACTAAAATTGCATGCATGTTTTTCACTAAAAAGTGAAAAATCTTTGTATCAGACCATACTGTCTGCAAAAAAAGTTGAATGCAAGAGTCTTTTTGTGCTCAGATTTATTGTATCATGTCACCTGAGTATAGAAATGATAGAAAAGACCCAAAATTTTATTTCATATAGCTTCAATATGCATTTTTAAATGTAAATATGTGATACGGCCTAAATTGACCCTAAGTTATTTTCAGTCTTACTTGGCCTAAGACCCTTTTAAACTAATGTGATATGTTATTTGTAAGTTTTCTTTCCATTTAAAGTACATTAAATACATATGTAAGGATTATTTATAACCAAAAAGCTTTACAAATTTAAAATTGCAGGAAAATATTACATCTTCATGTAAGGCCCCCCTTCATTGGAAAACCTCCATTTTTAGCCACAGGCTCATATAATTTTGACTTTTAAATAATTATAATAAGTCTGATAAATCAAATGAGTACTCTATTGCTTTTAATACATAATATATTATATATTAAGGCATTTCAAAAGTATTTTTTTGCAATATTTTAATTTTTTAAGCCCCAAATGTTGATAGTTGAAAATTTTCAATTTTAACGTCTAAATTTAACACTCAAAGTTGAATATAGAATTAGTCATATTGTCTATAATATATATCCTATTGCCATGAAACTTTGTAAGCAGTCTTATAATTTAATAAGCTTTGGTCATACCAAGTTTCATTAAGATTGGTCAACTTTTTCTACCCTATTAGGTCCGGGTACACAGTTATCGTCCTTTGATTTTCGTTGTCCACAAATATAGTCCCTAGTGTGGACAGTGTGTTACTTGTCGATTTTTTTTATACCCCTTCCGAATTTATTTCTCCATGTTTTATGACTCAAATAGTAAGTAGGGGGGTGAAATGACACTGTAAAAAAATTTGGGTCATGAATTTTAAAGTAAAGTAGTGATTTGGTCCAGCTGAAAAATGTTAAAAATTAGCACTTCGGAGGCTGTCAAAAGATTTGAAGACCCCCTTAGCATGAAATTGTCCATATTTTGAGTTAGAGCCGATGAAGTTTTCTATAATTTTGATATAATTTGTCCCAAAAGTAGTACAACACACTGTAAAAATATTATTGAGAAAGCGCAGGTGGGATTTTTTTAATTTTCATTTATTGTCTAAAAGAAATGCACTACGAAATAACTGTGTACTCGGACCAGATCAATACAATGCACAAAAAACCCTAAAAAACACAAAAGATTCGTACAGATCTGAGAGTACTCACAGTTACTGAAAACTATTTGAAGATCGTGATTTCTATTTTTCGGAGGGAAGTGAACTGAAAAGTATATGTGTTCTTGTGTATGTGCTTAGTTTCGATCTTTCATATATTTTATGTTTCTTAAATAAGTCTTCATTGTTGACATCTTGAAGTTTGAAGATGTGCACAGTCTACACCAAAAGTAACATACTTTTGAAGAATGTGCATGTACAAATGGATGATTCTACTACAACTTTACCCTCTTTACTTTCTGCACACCAACGTTGTCCACCTTTGTGTATACATGAATAATGCCATCTTCTTGAATACTGTTACATTGACAATGTTATGTTTATAGAATCATTTTCAAACTTTACAATTTGCTTATTTTAGGAAGTTTTGAAGATGAGGTTTAAAGGTGGAAGAGCAGAAGGGAAGGCAGTTATTGCAGGACTATCATGTAGATTACCAAAGTCTGATAACATTGATGTATGTAGGTTATTACATTTGATTTAAATTTATGAAACTGCACTAACTTAAAGAGGTTTTATTAGTAAAGTGTAGGATTTATTGCAATTACAGCCGATTCCAACTAGTGTGTAGCTAAAGGTAGAATCTTTGGTTAGCTTCCTTGCTAGCTCAACCATGAAATCATTATTAGGTAAGGTACATCCAGCCTTTGGGTGGAGTCAATAGTTAAGCAGAGAACCAATCAGAATTAAGAGACAGAATATAAACATTGTAAAATAAGTTTTCAATCTAAATTTAAAATTTAATGATAATTATAAGCTCATTCACAAGCATGTTGTAGGTGTGTTTGATTTGCCAATTGTATTTTGATAAATGGTGAAAAGTTAACTGAAAGCTGAAATTCCTAAAATGTTTTCTTCTTCGTCAGACATTACAAATAATAATATATTTTACCTGTCTGTTGAATTTGTTACATCAAGTTAATAAAATGTAGTTGGATATGATTGACAAGTGCTGACTGTATTCACTTTTACACATACACATATGTTTACAATACACCCGGGCAGGTAAAAAAGATAGGAAGGTGTTCAAAAGTACATATGACCTGATCATTAAATATAAGTACTACAACCGTGCATTATATTAAGTAGTATGATAATTTTTCTTTTCTGTGTGAATATAAAAGATTTAAGTTCTAAAAAAATATGTCAACACTGAGGTTGTGAGTTCGAACCCCGCTCGTGCAGGTGCACTCGACTCCAATCTTAATGACTAGGATTGTCAGTTTTCCTATCGAAGGTCGGTGGTTTTCTCTGGGTACTCCGGCTTCCTCCACCAATAAAAACTGGCCGCCACGAAATAGCCCAAAAGCGGTGCTTAAAAGTGGCGTTAAAACACCAAAAATCAAAATCAAATCAAATCTAAAAAATATGCATATAATTATAAAGAAAATACATAACAATGTTCTATGCGTGGGGATTACACCAAAAGACATTAATTAACTAAACTGCCTATTCACGGCGTAAATATTTAAAAAAAAAAAAACGTCACTCCGCTTCTGATTTATTGTAATAAAAAGATTTTTTATTCAATCAAATACTAAGAAATGAAATTTCATTTGCAAAGTAGTCTAGGTAAACCTTTGTATGAAACATACATATATTATAAATGATAAACCGGCCATTGATACAAATGTTTTCATTGGATGATAAAATAGCGCTTTGCTCCTCCCAATTTTAAGGTAATAATCATTTCATGGTTGAGCTAGCTAGGAAGCTAACCAAAGATTCAACCTTTAACTACACACTCGTTGGAATGGGCTGTAATCTATCCATAAAATTTTCTAGCTTACTACCAGATAGTTCCATGCCTTATAGATGGCAAGTTTAGTTTCAATACCTATATAGAAGCTATGAAAAGGATGAACGATTGCAGATTAATTACTTTAATGTTTTTAAATGTTAGTCTTTGTTTACACCAGTTGAAATGATGACCCTATATTAATTGTTCTTGCATTGGACTGATGAATAAAAATAAGATGTGGTATGATTGCCATTGAGACAACTATCCACCAGAGTCCAAAAGACGATCATGTAAACAACTATACGTCACTGTACTGCCTTCAACAATGAGCAAAAACCATACTGTATTAAAGGCCCTGACATGACAAAATGTGAAATAATTCAAACAAGAAAACCAACTGCCTGATTTATGATAAAACAAGAATGAAATACAAATGTGACATGACAGCAACCATTGAACAACAACCACTATATAACAGGCTCCTGAATTTGGACAAGCACATTAAAAAAGTTAACATAAAATTGTTTGAAATGGAAAATGTGAAGGCTTTTTTTATTGATACATACATGTATTCTCTATTAGAGAAAACATAATTGATTAGAGTACCTTTTTGTGTAGCTTGATTATTTGTAGTGTTGGCATTGTAAAATGCTACAGCTATTGATTTAGATAAAGTTATTCACAAAAATGAAACTATTTTTCCAGGAGTTTTGGAACAACTTAATAAATGGAAAAGACATGATTGGAGAAACAAGATGGCCAGTTGGATTATATGATACCCCTCCTCGTGCTGGACTTATCAATGGTATTGATAAATTTGATGCAGGCTTCTTTAGATTTACAGATTCTGAGGTTGGTTGTAATTGATACAGAGGTTGAATTCAGATTTTTTGTTATAGGATACAGTATGACTTGTACAGTGCAAGTAAAATGTTGCTGAGGTAAAGAAGTGGTACCATATATAACTTATTTAGGGTTACTGAGATGTAAATCAGGGGGAGGTATCGGTACTTACCATATTATCTGAAAATGAGGCAAATTGTTTCTATGGGAAAGTACCTGAGTACCTAACATCTGCCAAGAACAAATGAAATGTTACTGAGGGAAAGTGGAAAAGCAGGAACTACACATTTTGACCAATATAGACTTGTTTTAAAATAGGAAAAGTGAATTCTCTTCAATCTTTGTAAATTAAACTTTTAAACTCACTCTTTGTCTCGCCTTGGTGAATTTGTGAAAGTGAGAGGTGTGCTGTTTTAGGCAGAGGGTAAAAAATTTGTTAAAAAAATGTGACTAGGTCAGTTTAAGGGGAATCACTTATATTAAGTGAATAATATCTGTTATGCAGTTCTTAGTCATGGTCTATTGACCTTGAAACTTTGGCAAAGTATAAGATGAACTACTTATGGTGGTCAATGATATTTGGCACATCTCATTTCCATGGAAATTATTTTGCCATGTCCCCTTGGTCATGGTTTATTGACTTTGAAACTGTTGCTTAATTTATGTGTTAAAGTTTTACCATTTTTTTTTCAACAACGAGCCATATCTCTGTGTCAGCAGTTCATTTCTTTGATATAATTTGAATTTAAACAATTTCTATAAGAGATGTGGTATGATTGCTACAATTGAGTTATGTTCATTGGAAATATAAATTATTTGGAATATTGCCTTGTAAGCGCTCATACACCTTCTTTTCTTGTAGGGTTATAATGAAATATATATGAAAGGTTTAAATCAGTGATGTCTGGGACAAGTTAGAAATCAGTGCTGATCAAGTATTTTTTGTAACATATTTATTAAAAAACTGAAAAGATTCCAAAGTTATTTTCTTTTGGAGTTATTGCTCTTTGGTCGATAACATCTATGCAATATGGGGCACATAGAAACGCTGTTCTTTTATTAAATTATATGACTATAAATATTTTTAATTAAAGATGTGTTTTTTTTAGAATTTGAAATAGAATTCAGATAACAGGAAAAGAAACTGAATCTTCTGTGATGAAATGCTAGAATTTAAATTTACTTAAATATTTGATTAATGTCTTACACAAATAGCTAGTACTCAAAAAAGTTTTCTGTCTATCATTTATTTGATGTGTCTATATTTCAGGCACACAATATGAATCCCTTACTTCGACATTTATTTGAAGTATCGTATGAGTGTATCACAGATTCTGGTATACCACTAAGTGTGTTACATTCTAACACTACAGGAACATACACAGCATGCTTTATTCCTGACAATGATCCACTGGAAACATCACGATGTGCAGATTCCAAATATTGTAAGTTCAGACTTGAAATTTCTTATATATTTATGAATATTTTCATTAGAACTATCAATTAAATCAATATTAAGTTCTTTGTAAAGTTATCTAAGTAAACAATGGATTAGTATGCAGGGGCGGATTCAGGTGGGGTGTGGCGGGTGTGCTCCCCCCCCTAAAATTTGCAAAGCATGGGTTGTCCTCAGCTTAATAAAGAATATTTCGATAATTTTACCTAAAAAAAAATTTCGACTCACACCGCTCCTTGAAAATTTAAGTTTGCCCACCCTCCTAACCTAAAATCCTGGATCAGCCCATTGTATGCATTATTGAAACACATTTTAAAATCTCCTAGCAAGGTACAATCAATTTTTGCAATATTTCTAAATTAACATTTAGGTTATTCTAATTTAAAGTTTTAAGAAGTAATGAAAAAATAATTATTCAATTTTGATTTATACAAAATCTTTAGAATACAATATTGTTGTTTCATCAACCGAGGTATTTCTTTCAAAACTTCTGAAAGTAAGATATTTGTAAAAATATAAAGAACCATGTTTTCAGGTACAACTGTATCCATGATAACTGGTCACTTAATGAACCAGTTCAGATTTACTGGACCTAGTGCCACAGTGGATTCAGCCTGCAGTTCTAGCGTGTCTGCTATGGAAATGGCTGTACAAGACCTAATGACTGGACGTTGTCAGTTTGCTTTAGTAACAGGTTAGATATGTATATTAGACTATAAGAAATATTGTGTTTCTTTTTATGAATTAGAAAAACAAGTCTGGAATTGACATTGTTACTGTGATAGTTGAGATGTACTGAAATTTGACTTGGTCCAAAATCTAGATATAATGAATATTATACTTCAACAATATAGTTATCAAGTGAGTTTTGTGTACAAAAATTATTAGTAAAAGACTGCACACCTTTCTAATTTGCAATGATTAATACCAGTGGGATATGAATGATTTAGATGGTTAAATTTCAGCAAGACAGTAATCCAACAATATTAAAAGCGAAACTACAGGTCACCATAGGTCTTCAATGATAGACGTGCAAGTGACAATATCGTATGTTGTGAACAAGTTCAATAGAAACTACTGAAGGTCACCAAGTTGATTCATACAAAAAGTCTTTTAGGAGATGTGCATATGTCTGAGAAGTATTTATATTTTTTAGGGTGAGGGTGGGAATTTTATAAAAACATTTCTAGTGTTAAACTTTTAAAGCTTTGTTGATTGCATAATGATGTAATTTTAGAAAAAAAACTTATTTAATGTTTGTCTCTGCTTTTTTACAGCATGCAATTTGTTATTGAATCCAAGCTATCTACAACAGATGAGTTTTCTTGGGATGTTAAGTTCAGAAGGACAGAGCAGAGTATTTGATGCTGATGCCAAAGGATATGTGAGAGCTGAGGGTATTGTGTCGATATTACTTACTAGGTAAGAATTTTACCAACATTGGGTATATTAATTGATAGCTTGGAAGTTCAGCATTTAAGCATCTGAAGCCTTATGGCTAATATTTCAAATGAGTACACCAAAACATTATGATTGAATTAGAAATTGCAGTTATATTTCAAAATATCTTGCCAAATAGAGCAATACAAATATGATCTGATCAGGTGACTATTGTATGTTTTTATGCCCCACCTACAAGAGTAGGAGGACATTATGTGTTCTGCTCAGTCCGCCTCTTAGTTCATCTATCCCATATCCGGTTAAATTTTGGTTTTAAATAGTTTTTATGAGATTTTAGTGAGATCAACTTAAAATTTAATACATCTGTTCATATGATGTGAACTTTTTGAAATATATGCCAAATGAAAGTTTTGATCCTGATAACATGCTTTATTTAACATGAAATTGTGAAAGTTCGAGTGGGGCATGTGTCCTATAGACACATTTTTTTTTCATTAATCTTAACAGTTTACTTATACATATGTATGGCTGTATTGATGATCTGCAGCTGTCCATATCACAGTTATTTTAGATGTACTTGACAATTTTCTATTTCCAGACAGGCAAGTCTGTGTCAGAGAATATATTGCTCAGTAATTGATGTGAAAACAAGCTGTAATGGGTATAATCCTGATGGTATGTACTTGTTTTGTATGTACATGTAGGATCAATGCTGTAATTAAGTAGTTAGAAAAAAACAAACATTTACAAAAAAAATGAACACTTTTGTTTCATATTAACACCTGAGAAATTTCTAAGCCTTTGGAACATTGTTTTTTTAATACCAGGAAGATTTTACTGCATTTCATAACTAGATTTTTTGTCTATATTGACATGCTTTCCTTCCACTTTTCTCTTTCTTTTTGATAACTCTATTCTCACCTCAAAATTAAATGTTTTTTATTGTGGTTGTGAAAATATAACATTACCATTCGATTCATTAATTGTTATATGCACAACAGGTTTATTTAAAGGCTTAATCAAATGACTTTTTTGTCTCGCCTTGACAGAGTCGAAAAGCGAGACAAAGGTAAGCTGTTTCCGGCATTGGCGGTGTCGTCAACAATGTATTAGTTTGTTATTAGGTCAATTTATGGGGAACCACTAGTGGTAGGTCAATAATATTTGGTATGCAGTTGTATTAGCATTGGCACATCTCATTTCCATGGAGATTATTTGACCCCACCCCCTCAGTCATGGTCTATTGACTTTGAAACTTTTGCTTAGTTTACATGTATTAGTTTGTGATTAGGTGAGTTTATGGGGAACCACTTGTGGTAGGTCAATGATATTTGGTATGCATATGTATTAGCATTGGAACATCTCATTTCAATGGAGATTGTTTGGCCCTGTACCTTCAGTCATGGTTCATTGACTTTGAATATTTTGCATAACTTACATGTTAAAGTATTGCATTTTACTATCAAAATAACAAAAAGGGGAGACATATCTCTGTGTCAACAGTTTATAATTCAAATATAGAATCTTAACCTTTTTCTCATCTTCTGTTTTATAAATATTAGTATTTCCAACTAAGAAAAAGGAGTTTCACGAACTCATGTTTAAAAGCAAACACATTTTATATAACAGTGAATAATTCACAATATTAGAACCTAAATGTTTTGTGTAATCATGCGGCTTTAAAAACATACAAACAATCAGCTTAGAATGTCAATGTTTAATTAAAAGTATTATTACTTAATATTTTCATGGTAGGCATCACTTTCCCCAGCAAAGATTGTCAGTGTGCTTTGATGAAAGAAATCTACAAAAGATCTGAAGTAAAGTGGGATGATATTGCCTACATGGAGCTTCACAGCACTGGTACACCAGTAGGTAGTCTGCTATCACAATTGAGGCTTGAGATAGATATTTAATGCTTTCCTTTAGATTTACAGTAATATATGGGAAGTGGGTTTCAAAATTAGAAGATCTATGGCATCTGAAGGAAAGACTTGGAATTCCATTTTTTATACGCCTGTCAAATTTTTGACGGGACGTATAATGGTATACAAATGTCCGGCGTAAACATGTCGCACCATAACTTGAGAATGACTTATCCAAATTTCATGAAACTTAACATAGTTGTTTCTTATGATGGTCAAACGATCTGTATACTTTTTGGTGAAAATAAGATTAAAACTTTTTGAGTTACAGGACTTAGTAACTAAAACAGGTGTGTGTTTTTTTATACGCCCGTTTACGGGACGTATTATGGTATACCGTTGTCCGTCCGTCCGTCTGTCCGTCCGTCGTCAACATGTCGGACATTAACTGAAAAACCCTTTAACCAATTTGCATAAAACTTTGGTGAATTGTTTATATCTATTGACGTGAGCTCCCTTTCGTTTTTTATAAATTTTAGATTTTACATTTCCGAGTTATGGGGTTTTATTCATTAAAAAAAGGGGGATTTTCCAGTTTTCGGACAATAACTCAAGAATGCTTTCACTAACTTGCAAGAAATTGTGGTGAATTGTTTATATCTATTGACATGAGCTCCCTTTTAATTTTTATAAATTTTAGATTTTACGTTTCCGAGTTATGGGGTTTTATTCATTAAAAAAGGGGGATTTTCCAGTTTTCGGACAATAACTCAAGAATGCTTTCACCAACTTGCAAGAAATTGTGGCGAATTGTTTATATCTATTGACATGAGCTGCCTTTCGATTTTTATATATTTTAGATTTTACGTTTCCGAGTTACAGGGTTTTATTCATAAAAAAAGGGGGATTTTCCAGTTTTCTGACAAAAAATCTAAAATGCTTTCAGCAGTTCTTATGAAACTTTGGTGAATTGTTTATATCTATTGATGTAAGCTCCGTTTAGAATTTTATAAATTTTTCATTTATCATTTCTGAGTTATGGGGTTTTATTCATTAAAAAAGGGGGGATTTTCCAGTTTTCATTTATCATTTCTGAGTTATGGGGTTTTATTCATTAAAAAAGGGGGGATTTTCCAGTTTTCGGACAATAACTCTAAAATGCTGTCAGCAATTCTCATGAAACTTTGGTGAATTGTTTATATCTATTGATGTAAGCTCCCTTTACATTTTCTTAAATTAAAAATTTATGACATTGAGAATTAATTGAACTTTATTTGTTTATAGTCTGACAACAGATTTACTAAGTATTGCGCAACAGCACAGTGTATTGCACAACAGCAAGAAATCTTTAATTGAATATAAATTCAATTCATATAATCAATTTCAAGTTCTTTGACTACATTTATTCAGAAACCTATAATATGTCAAATATTTAATTACAATCCAAATTCAGACCTGTATCAAGCTTGAATATTGTGTTCATTTTTGCCCCAACTGTTCAGGGTTGGACCTCTGCGGGCGTATCCAGCTGCGCTCAGCGAAGCAGTTTTTATTTCACATGTCGCGCCGTATCTCAAAAACAATTTATGATTATTGCTTAAAACTTTACACACTTCTTAGTTATATTAATCTTAAGATCTGTATACTTTTTGGTGATGATTCAAAATTTTATTTTAGAGATATTGAGTATTTTGTTAAAAAAGGGGGAGGGGTTTTTCACATGTCGCGCCGTATCTCAAAAACAGTTTATGATTATTGCTTAAAACTTTACACACTTCTTAGTTATATTAACCTTAAGTTCTGTATACTTTTTGGTGATGATTCAAAATTTTATTTTTGAGTTATTGAGTATTTTGTAAAAAAAGGGGGAGGGGTTTTTCACATGTCGCGCCGTATCTCAAAAATGATTTATGATTATTGCTTAAAATTTTACACACTTCTTAGTTATATTAATCTAAAGATCTGTATACTTTTTGGTTTTGATTCAAAATTTTATTTTAGAGATATTGAGTTTTTTGTAAAAGGGGGTTTTCGCATGTCACGCCGTATGTCAGAAACTATTTATGCTTATTGCATAAAAATTCACACACAAGACGACGGGCGTATCATGCGCTCATGGCGCAGCTGTTTATTATACGACCGCAAAAAAATTTTTGTGGTCGTATATTGGTATGATGTTGGCGTCGTCATCGTCGTCATCGGAAGACACATTAGTTTTCGCACTCTAACTTTAGTTTAAGTGAATGGATCTCAATGAAATTTTACCATAAGGTTCAATACCACAAAAGGAAGGTGGGGATTGATTTTGGGGGTTATGGTACCCACAGTTAAGGTAACACGATACCGAATGGCATATCTCCCGATTTCTAAATTTTTTGGCACACTTGTACTTTGATTCGAGTTACATCGGAATATGAAATAAAAAATGGGGGTCACCATTCTTGTTTTTTTGTAATTTTGCTAAGCAAATGTCAATTTTGGTGCCAAATTTACATAGATATATAGGGAAAATGCCTTTTTTTCGACTTACTTTTCTAGATTTTTCAATGGATGTCTATTTTCTCATATACGGAGAAAGACTAAAAACTAACATAATATCCAGGAATGTGTACCAAATCTATACATACATAAAAAAACATATGTCACCATCCTTGTTTTTCAGATAAATTGCTTCAAAGATGACCGATACGCTTAGAAATTGACAAAAATATGTGACGTTACGGAATACAGAATATAACGTTGTTTTACATTGACTCATTTCAGTTGTCTTTCATTTCCTGAAATTCACGGAACATAAAAGTATCAAGTAAATAACACGCAATTATGTATAAAAATATAATTTAATGGATATGGTCAATTAGATAAATACTGGCTAACACGATTTATAATTTTCTTCTGATTACTAATCCTTGGTTTCCCATTTGAAGTCCTCTCAGCAAAAATACTCCGAACGCCGTCTTGTCCAGCTCTACTAAAAGAAGATTTGATATGATCAAAACTAAGTCCACTTCCGGCTGCCCTATCGCACAGTGCTTTTGACATAATTTTTTCTCTAATAACCCCATTATAGGAGACCATTAAATGTTTCTTTGCGTGAAACATCTTCAATTGACGTTCTATTTCATTTACAACGAAACTATTCTCAATAAGTTGTTCTTTTGCATTGTCTACTTCTATCAACTCCTTTAACATTTTTACATCATCAAGGGCATTGTGAGCATTATATGTTGTCTTAAGAATGTCATTAGCAAGAGAGCTCTGTGAATATGATTTTCTTTTCGGATATTTAACACGGAATAATGGAAGTGTGTCTGAAAATCCTAATATACGGTCTTTGAGGTTTTGTAAAATTGTTGAATTTAAAGGCTGCATCTGGGATACAAGTATTTTTGCATCGAATTGTTTACAATTATGTGCAACCAGTAATGAGTTTTTCGGAAGCCAATCAATAAAACTATTAAAAACATTCTCCTTTGGTTCTGTCACAAGTTGCTGACCTTTATAATAAAGACGCGTCCCTGTACTGAAAAGATGGGTGACTTCGGTAGCTTTTGGATGAATCGGTTTTGTAGGAATAATGTACTTATCAAACTCTCCTTTGTTACAAACTGCTGACAATTGAACTATCTCGGAATCGTATCCTGTAATAAATGCATACATATGATCATAATTATGTTGATTGCTATAACGTATGATTGTTTCTTTTTCATAAATCGATAGTAATCGGGTCAGTTTGATGAACCAGAAATTAGTGTTTTGCAAATGAAATATATTACAAAAGAACACAGCGTCTTACATTAATTGATATGGGCTTATAACTGTATGAGTGGCTGCCTGTTGATTTTACCATAAAAAGGTTTTCGGGGCCTTTTATAGCTGACTATGTGGTATGGGCTTTGCTCATTGTTGAAGGCCGTACGGTGACCTATAGTTGTTAATTTCTGTGTCATTTGGTCTCATGTGGTGAATTGTCTCATTGGCAATCATACCACATCTTTTTTTTTTATTTAATCAAGCCAACAGGCATTTATCTATTGGCCTAAAATATACATGACATTAACTAAAGAACAAGTCGATTTTGCCAACGCTTTCATACCCTAATGAAACTTCCATAGATGACAATTTATTCTGAAATGTTTCCAATTACTTAAGATGTTCAGGTCCGATGTCCTTTTCAGTTAAGTTATTTAAATAATAAACATCGTCGTGTTAATAGTCAACTTACCAAATCTGGTGGTTTCAATGTCGAAAACGACAACAGAAAGTTCCTCGCTACTATCAATGTCGACTCTTGTTGGTAGTTCTAAATCACTTGGGTCTGGGATTGTTTCGATGTCTACATTATCCCCATCTGGTCCCATGGCAATCAGTGATTTGTAAGTTATACCTTCTTTGGTCTCTTTGGTTAAAGTGTTAATAAATGAATCGGACTTTTTACTTTTTCTCTTCCTTTTGATAGCCGGTAACTTTTTCTTTTCTGCATCTCTTTTAGCCTTCTCGTCTAGTTTTATTGTTTTTGATACCGTTACTTTTCCAGGTGAAATTCCATGATTTTCGTTTACCTGTATACAATAAAAAGTTAAATTTATAAGCTTATTTGAATAAAAATTTGATGATCATAAAATTACATAATATAACAATAAAACGCTATTTTGCACTTCTTTAATATTGTGTACTTACTTCGGAAGATATCCAATGTTTAAATTAATCTATTAAATCGACAAAAATATATTTATTCTACCTTACATGACAAAAACCTCTAGACAAGGAGAAAATTTATCTCCTTTTCTTTTTTCTTTGTATCTGAATGACTTGGAAGATTTTTATTCATAGAAATGATGTAATAGGTTTAAACACAGTGACAAATGAAATAGAAGAACAAATTAATATTTACATCATACTTTATGTACTACTTTATGCAGATGATGCTGTTTTATTTTCTGAAACTGCAACAGCAGCTAAATACATTTTATGAATACTGTGATATATGGAAACTGAAGGTTAAT